TGCTGATGTTGCTTTTGATGTTAGTTGGAGAACTGGCTACAAGTCATCCCTATCACACTACAGACTTGAACAAAGCATTCATTCCTGCCCCTTGGCTGAGTCAGTGACAAGAAAGCTGACTGAAGCAGCTCTCCAGTGCTGGAGAAATTTCTGTCTGTCCCAGGGGAACAGATGGCACCTTTTTTCTGCTATTGTCCATCACTGCCAGAAAAGAACAGCTGCTCAGTAGTCCAGCTGCTTAAGGATGTATCAGAGCCCTTGAAAGTGTGTACCCTCCCACACTGAATGGACTGACTTGTATAACCATAGGAATCTTGCAGAAGTAATGGGGTGTGAACTCAGAAGCAGAGCCATGGAAGATCCTGCAGCCCCTGTTCTCCTCCCTCTTGGATCACTCACCCTGGGAATGAGACACAGTATTTGGAGGAGAGTCAAGAAGCTCTGTGGAGACATGTGTGGCAGGGAAATAGGGTCCTCTCACCAGGAGCCCACACTGACTGTTACCCCTGCAATTGACTGCAGGCTCGCTGAAAGCTTGACCCAGAGCCACCTAGCTAAGCCGCCCCTGAGTCCTTGGAGAACAGAAACAGTTTGAGACAATAGTTATTTTGAGCCACTCGGTTGGGGATTTAGCTCAGTGGCAAAGTGCCTGCCTGGCAAGCGCAAGGTTGTGAGTTCGGTTCCCGGTACCAGAGAAAAACAAAACAAAAAAGTTATTTTGAGCCACTTGGTTGGGGTAATTTGCTACCCAGCTAGATAATTAATACAGTTTCAGCACAGCAGTGAACACTGTCCAAAGTCAGGCCACACTGATGCTATATGAGTTAGGATGTCTTAACTGCAGTTAACACAAAGGCCAATGAAAATTGCTTTAGGGCTGGGGATTTAGCTCAGCAGCACAGCATCTGCCTGGCAAGCGTGAGGTCATGAGTTTGATTTCCGATATCGGGGGAAAAAAAAGAAAATTACTTTAAACCATAAAGAAAATAGTTTATTTTATATAAGAAAAATGACAGAGTCTTGACAAGAGACAAGACCAGCACTCTGAAAGGGTGAGGCAGGAGGATTGCAAGTTTGAGCCCAGCGTAGACAATTTAGTGACTTAGGAAGACCCTGTCTCAAACAAACAACCATCTGTAACAAACTTACAGCTCAGTATATAGCTCAGTGTGAAGGCCCTAAATTCAATCCACAGTACTACAAAGAAAAGAAAAAAAGTAAAGGAGCCAGGTATAAGCCTGTGAACTCAGAACTTGGAAGGCTGAGGCAGGAGGATTGCTATGTGTTCAAGGCCAGCCTGGACTATATAGTGAGTTGAAGGTCAGGCTGAACTACATAGCAAGAACCTGTCTAAAAAAAAGAAAGAAAAGGAAAGGAAAATAAAGAAACAGGGCTGGGGATTTAGCTCAGGGGCACAGCGCCTGCCTAGCAAGCATGAGGTCATGAGTTCGATTCCCGGTACCGAAAAAAAACAAAACAAAACAAAGAAACAAGAGAGAGAAATCCAAGAGACAGATCAATCAACCATTGGAGTCAGAGATTTTAACATATGTCTTTCAATAATAGATAAATCAAGCAGAAAAAACATCCCAAAATTAACAGTGAACAAATTTGGTCTGATGAGTGCATCTGCAATACTGCAGAATAGCCTTTTTTAAAGCACATACACGAAAGTTATGAAAAATGATCACAAACTAGGGCGCAAAGCAAGTCTCAACAAATTTTAACAATTTGGCATACCATAGAAACCACATTCTTTGACCACAGTACAGTTAATTTATAAATAATTACAAAAAGAGAACTAGAAGAAACCCTGTATATTTAGAAATGAGGCCCTGTGCTCCATCCTCAGTACAAAAAATAGTTGGTTACTGATTAACAACAAGGAAATCTAAGATGCAGACTTCACCAGAAGCACTGGGCACAAAGTTGCCCATGAACACCTCTACCACAGCAGATCTTGAGGGCAACTGGTACAGTGTGTGATGTGTTTGAGAGGTGGACTGGCATGGATATCACATATGCCTTCCTGGACAGTGACATAACACACCTATTGAGTTGTACATTGCAGAGGTGCGGTAGAGAGGAAAAACCCTGAGACATACTTGTGATATCTTGCTCCATCCTGCACTTGTCACTAGATGTACCGTGTAAGTCTCTTTGTTGCTCTTTTTTTTTTTTTTTCTCACTATGTAGTTCAGGATGGCCTTGAACTTTTGGTGATCCTCCTGCCCTCAGCCTCCTGAGTGCTGAGATTACAGATCTCAGTGCTGAGATTACAGATCCCAGGCAAGCTGTCAGACAACTGGTCACAGCTGGCGAATTGACTGCAGGCTCGCTGAAAGCTTGAGGTTACTACTGGACTCAGTAGTGTTTTTTGTATTTCAAATGGTTGTCCTGTTATCATTTATGGATCCTTCATCCTCCTGCCACAGTTATCTGCTAAATTCTGCTAACTTAGAACGCCACCAATGGTCTTTCTGTCCTATTGGTCTGCTTATTCTTATACTAGTTCTACATTATTATTTCTTTCCTTTTCTTTTTCTTTCTCTTTTCCTTCCTTCCTTCCTTCCCTCCTTTCTTCTTCCCTCCCTCCTTCCCTCCCTCCTCCCCTCTCTTTCTTTCTTTTCTTTCTTTCTTTGAGACTGAGTCTTACTATGTAGCCCAGGGTGGCCTTGAACTCACTATATAGTCCAAGCTGGCCTCAGATTCCCAACAATCCTCCTGCCTCAGCCTCCCTAGTGCTGGGATTACAGTTATGCACCTCATGTCCAGCTGTTTATCATAAGATTGAAAAGCATAGACAAATGAGAAGTTTCTCCTCAACTCCTTTCCCTAGCTGCCCTAGAAGAAACCAATGCTTCTATTATTATGTGATTTCTTTTGGAGACCTTCTATATGCATATATTCTCACATATCTTTATATATGTGCATATATTCTTGCATATAAACTTACATGTATTCTTTCTCTTTTCCCTACAAATAGTAGCAAACGTGTCTGTTTTTGTTCTTGTTTTCCGGTACCGGGAATCGAACTCATGACCTTGTGCTTGCCAGGCAGGCGCTGTGCCACTGAGCTAAATCCCCAGCCCCGCAAACGTGTCTGTATGTAATTTTTTTGGTTTTTTTTGGTGTGTTGGGGTGGGAGCCCAGGGCACTCCGCTAATGTGCTAGGCAAATACTCGACCACTTGTAGAGCTACATCCCCTGCCTTGGAAACAAATGTAAGTCTTCTCAGTCTATATTTTTCTTACTTGTATTTTTAAAAATTTTCTTACCACATAGTGCAGCTACATTTGGATTTGAATCCCAGTTCTACCATTTATTGGGTTTATCAGTTTCCAGTGCCTACTCTGATAACTCACCACAAACTGGTTGTCTTGGAAAAAATAGAAGTTTGTTTGTTCCCTCTCAGTTCTGGAGCCTGCACATCTGAAAGCAGGGCCACGCTTTTGCTGAAGACTCGGGGTGGACGCTTGCTGGAGTTTTCTGGTGGCTGCGTGTGCTCCTCGGTGTGTCAGTGCATTGTGCCAGCCTCTGCCCCTGCGCCCACGTGGCCTCTTCTCTCTGCACATCCCTGTCCCTTCCTGGCCACCTTAGAAGGCAACAGTTACTGGGTTCAGGGACTGCTCTGTTCCAGAATGACCTCCTATTAACTTCACTAGTTACATCTGATAAAAACTTTATTGCTGAGGTTCTGGGTGGACATGAATTTTGGAGAAGCCACTATTCAACCAGAATGCAGCAGTTGCTGGCAGTGAAAGTTAGACAGTCTCACCGACTGACCCCTTTACGTCTAGATTTTAACCACAGTAGTTGACAGTGCCCAGCAAGAGTGAAGTGGGGGTGTAAGCACTGATGCTGAGCCTGATAACACAGAGCCAGCTTGAGTTGGAGGAAGCAGCGGGACTTGAGGTCAAACCAGAACGTGCCCCCACACCTTTGCCGCTCATTTTAGACCTTGGGAACCTGGGGGGTGGGGGCAAGGTAAATGTGATGGGACTTTGCATTAATTACAATTAGGTTCAACTTTGAATAACATAAAGCCCCCCAAGTAACTGACTTAAGCAAGGTATGTGTATTTCTCTTTCACAGTCAAGACATTTAGATAGTCAGTGCAGAGCTGGCGGGAAATGCAAGCTCTGTTTTTCTTGTTTTCCTCTATGACTTCTGTTCATAAAGTCACTCATGGTCCAGGATGGCTGATGGTGCTCCAGTCATTAACTTCTACATCCAGACCAGCAGCAGAGAGGGTAGAGGATGAAGGTTAAAGATATCTACCCACTTACATTTATACCCCAGTGGTCACACTGAGATATAAGAGAGGTTGTAAGATGTAGTCTTGCTTCTGGGCAGCTGAATCATCTGTGAAAACACTGGGCGTTCTGTTTCTAAGGATGAGAGAGGAGATATGGAGGGAGATGCAGAGGCCTGTTCAGCTTTGAAGGAAAAGTGTCCGCGTCCTCTGGGGATGCGGGGGGACCTCCCCAAGTAGGTCAGCTGCTGTTTCTCTCCCTGGAGCTCTGGTGAGTGGCGGGAAGGCAGCACTGGTGCGGGAGTTGCATCTTTGTGGAGTCACGAGGAGGGGGCACGAGTGTGTGCCCCGACGCTTGGGCACAGTGCGCAGCGTATGGCAGCGTTCACTTAGTGACGGACTACAGTTCTCACGGGGACCTCATGTCAGATGAGATGGGGTAAACTGGCCTGAAGATCTGGGGAGCCAAGTCTTCACCCCTGGTTTGGGCTTCCTCTGGGTCTGCCTCCTGGAGCGGGAAGTTCCCATGTCACTCCCAAGGCGACCGCTTGTCCCAGGACTCACGCTCCTTCCCTTCCGCTCTGGGTCCCTGGAGCCTGGGAGCCAGAGCCTTCGAGTGTACCCACCTGCGTTCCGCCCAGCTTCCTGCAGTCCCCTGCTCGCACGGGACCAGGGTGGAGGCGGGCAGCAGACGCTCCTTAAGGCCGTGAGGATGGATGCATGCTTTTGTTTCTTCTGTGCTTAGATTCTCCAGGCTCAAATCAAATCGCTGGAGCAGAGCAAGGTGAATAAAATCACCATGGAGCAGGAGCTGAAAGAAGTAAGTGAACTGAGGGGCCTGTGCCTCATGGTCCAGGATGGCTGAGCCCCAGCCGTACCAACCTGAGCCCCAGCCCTGAGCCCCAGCCCTACCAACCAGGGAAGTGGAATCACGGGGCAGACTCCCATAATAGCCTTTCTGCATACAGAAAGAGAGGAGAGGTTCTCGACGTTTGTCTTGTCCACTCCTGTTTTCAGCAGTGTTCTGTTAAGGGAACTTAAAAATCAGGCACCAGCTCCTCTGTCTTAGGAAAACCTAAGCTTAGATACCACAGTTGTTTTTGAATCAGTGTTGACCGGAAGGTTGAACTTACACCATGGCTAGACATCAGTGTCCCTAACTAGAAAAAATGACCCAAAGGATCGGATGTCTGCCAGCTTGCTCTTGCTCACACCCCAGCAGCCCTGAGCCTCAACCCCTCTCTCTAGAAAGCCGACAAGAGTGCCCTGGCAAGCAAGGCCAGCAGGGCTGACCTGGAGACGGTGGTGACGGAGCTGAACGGCATGATTCAGGGCATGCTCTTGAAGGTCTCGACCCATGAGGATGACTGGAAGAAGTCTGTAAAGCAGCTCAGGAAGGACATGAGTGCTAAGGTACGTAGCCCTGTGTAAGTTATCTTGTGCTGCATGACAAATTACCCCAGAACTTAGCAGCTGCAAACAGCAAATGCTGATTCCAGACGCAGTAATTTGGGAGCAGCTGAGCTGGGTGGCTCAAGGTCTCTTATGAGGTCACAGCAAAGGTATCATCTGGGGCTCTGTCTTCTGGCCTGACTGGGGCAAGAAGGGCCACCTCAAAGATGGTACCCTCACCCATGCCTGGTAGTGCATGTCTATAATCTTAGCTACTCAGGAGACTGAGGCAGGAGGATTGCAAGTTTAAGGTTAGCTTGCGAAACTTAAAGAGACCTTGTCTCAAAATTTTAAAAAATGTTTTAAAAGGGCCAAGGATGTGTCACAGTGGTAAAGTGCTTGCTTAGCATGTGTGAAGCCCTGGGTTCAATCCACAATTTTAGAAAAAAGAAGGCATCCTCGTAACTTCAGTTCAGTCCACAAGAACTCTTTCTGCAGGTCACTTGGGTGGTGACATCCCTGAGAGCAAGGGCCCAGGACAGCAAGAAAGAATCTATTGATCCGGCTGGGGATGATAGTGCATGCCTGTAATTCCAGCACTTGAGAGGCTGAGGCAGGAGGATTGCAGAAGGACTCCATAGTGAGTTCAAGGCCAGCCTGAACTATATAGTAAGACCCTGGCTCAAAACAACCAACAACAACAGAAAAAAAAAAAAAAAGAAAAAAACCAGGCATGGTGGCGCATGCCTGTAATCCCAGCACTTGGGAGGCTGAGGCAGGAAGATCACTACAAGTTTGAGGCCAGCCTGGGGTATATAGTGAGTTCAAGGCCAGCCTGAACTACATAGGGAGACCTTGTCTCAAAAAACAAAACAAAAACAGAAACAAACGTATGATGAAATAGAATTCAGCCATTCTATTCCTTAGTTTACATGTTGTGTGAAGTACTGACGCACACTACCGCATTGAAGGTAGTGTGCTAAGTGAAGGAGGCCACATACTGTGTGGTATTATTTATATGAAAAATATGAATAGGAAAATCCATGGAGGCAGAAACTTGATTAGTGGTTTCCAGGAGCTGGGGATTTGGGAAAATGGGGGATATGGGGCTTCTCTGAGAGGGATGCAAATGTTCTAAAACTAACTGTGATGTTATATAACTGCGAGTGTACTGAAAGCAATTGAATTGTTCACTTTACATACATACTCGCCATAACACCTGTTGAATGTGTGTAGGGTGCTTGGGGGTCCATTGGGAACGATGTTGCTCAGGCTTCTGGATTTAGTTGGATGTAAAAGCAGATACTGTTTTTTTTGCTTTTGCTGCTGGGAAACTCACTTTGCAGCTCCCTCTACCAATAACATTCACAAGGGCATGAGCCTTAATCCAAACTGGGTTATTTTTCCTTTCCAAGACTACCTCACTGTCTTTGTTTCATCCTCCTATTATCTTTGTAACTTTACAGTATGAGTTACTGGACTAGACTGTCTTTTCTTCCTTCTGGCTTTTGACAGCTGGCCCCCACTGACCTGGATGCTCTGAAGAAAGAAGTGGCGGACATCTGGCAAGCAGTCAAAAAGCTGATGATAGAGGGCTTCCGACTCGACCCAGATCGTGCTGCAGGCTTCAGGAGGTGACCACAGACATGGGGCCAGGGGCAGGGGTGGGACTGAGAGGGCAGAGGGGCCCAGAGGCGGAGCAGCCTTCTAACAGTAGAAGAGGAAAGTGAGGCCCACGGAGGGAAGGGATGTGTAGGCCACACGGGGCCTGGGCAAACCCAGGGCCTGAGGCAGGGTTCTTGACCCCCACCCACTCAGGCAGACGCCCCGACCCCAACTCACACTCACTCTAGCCCGGAAGGGAGAAGGACAGCCTCTTCGCCTTTATCCTTCCCCTTCCTACCCCACTTCCCTCCTCTTCCCCTTCCCCTTGGCTTCCCTTTTGTGTTTTCTTTCCTTCACTGCTGCATCTGGGGATTGATTCTAGGGCCTTCCACTGAGCTACATCCTAGCCCTTTTTAAATTTTGAAACATGGCTCACTAGTCCGTTAAATTGCCCAGGCTGGGCTCAAATTTACTATCCTCCTGCTTCAGCTTCCCAGAGTGCTGGGATTACAGGCGTGCACCATCCGGGGAAGGCATGGTATGGGGTGGGGAGGGAAACGGATGGGACAACAGGGTCCGCAGAGCTGAACCCAGAGCGTCTGCAGCCCCCTCCGGCACCCGCCCCCGCCCCCGCTGATTGCTGGCTGCCTCCTCTTTCAGGCAGCTGTTCCAGCGAGTGAAGTGCATCTCCTGCGACCGGCGGGTGGAGCTCATGACTGGCCCGTGAGTACCGCCAGGGGGCTAGCGCGGTTCTGCGGACCAAGGGGTCAGGGCGCCCACGGGCGCCGCCGTGCAGCTGTCGAGTGCGCCCACCTGTGTGGGCCCTGTTCCACAGTCGTCGTGCGCAGTCTTACGCGTCACTGTTCAGACCCCGCTTTCCGTCCCACTCGGAGGGCGAGCGCAGATGAGGGGGAGCACTGTCTTTTTTTCTATCACCGACCCTGTCTAGGGCTGTGTACCAGGCATAAGTCAAACAAAACAAAACACCCAGAAGGAATCCTTGTGGGGAAAGCAGGCCGTTATTGTACCTTTTCTGCACTTATTTGGATAAAAGTCTGATCATACTTTAAATTTATTGAGAGGAAATTCATTTCGCATGCGAGAACTGTTTTAAAGTGAACAATTTGGTGGTGTTTTTAAATACATTTACAGTGTTCTGCAAGTGTTGCCTCCGTTTAATTCCAGAGCCCTATTTAGTCTCCGTAGAAGGAAATCTCAGCCCATTAGCAGTCACTCCGCATTGCCAGCCCCCTTCCCGCCCTTGGCAGCCAGGAATCTGCGTTTTCTACGGATTTGCCTTTTCTGAATGTTTCCTGGAATGGAATCATACAATATGTGGCCTTTTAAATCTGGCTTCTTCCATTTAGCATATTTATTTGGTTCCTTTGTGCTGTGGCATGAATCCTTTCTATGGCTAAATATTCTACTGTGTGAATAGAGAGCTGATTGGTTGATGGAAATTTGGATTGTTTCTACCTTTTAATTATCGTACCTAGTGCAGCTATGAACATTTGTGCACATGTATTAAACCACCCACTTTCAGTTCTTTTGGGTGTAAACCTAGAGTGGAAGTGCTGGGTTAGACAGTAACTCTGACACTCCTTCCTGATTGCTGCCAGTTCACATTCATGAAGGAGCTATAGAGCTTCAACCAGGATTTACTTTCAAATCACAGCTACCTACTTCCTGAATTATGTACAGTAGTAAAAAAGTTGGAAACAATGCATGTGGTACCTGAGTTACAGTTCATTCACATCAGGCAGAAGAAACCGAGTTATATAAGAATGCTGTCCAATAGGAAGTCCTGCCATGATGTGGCGGTAGCTGTGTGGTCCAGCGCAGGAGGTACTGGGGACCTGTGGCTGCTGAGCACTTGAAATATGGCTAATGCATTTGGGAAACTGAATTTTATTTTATTTTATTTATTATTTTATTTTTTTTTTGGTTTTTCTCCGGTACCGGGAACCGAACTCACGACCTTGCGCTTGCCAGGCAGGCGCTTTTGCCGCTGAGCTAAATCCCCAGCCCCACGGGAAACTGAATTTTAAATTTCACTTATTTTAGTTAATTTCAGTGTAAATTGAAACAGCCACATGTGGCCAGCAGCTCCTGTATTAGATATCAGAGCTGTGGAAAAATATTTAATGATCAGAAAAATGTTTAGAATAAATTAAATGACAGTACAAAGTAGTATGTGTGTGGTTATCTGGTTTTTGTTTTAAAAACTATATAAACATGGTAGCCAGATGTGGTGGCACATGCCTGTAATCCCAGGCAGGAGATTCAAGAGCCTGAGGCAGGAGAATCACCATCAGTTCAAGACCAGCCTGGTCTATATAGTAAGTTCAAGCCTAACTACATAGTGAGACGCTGTCTCAAAAAAAATTACATAGACATAGAAAAATACCAAAAGAACATGTATCAAAATCTGTGTAACATTGTTATAGTGATTATTCTTTGTGTGTTTTTCCATGCTTTGTGAAATGTTAACAATCAATATGTTTTACTGAAAAAATTTATTAAGGCTTACTATGTGTAAAGAATGTACACTGCTGACTGTTGCATGGTTGGATGGACTTTTACACACGTGTACACCTGAACTTTTTGCACATGTGTTTACCACCACTTGGAGATGCAGAGGGATGTGTGGTTTTCTTCATTTTTATTTCCTTATGGAAGCAAAATACCCATGACATAAATTTAGCCATTTTTAAGGGGACAGTTTGGTGGCACTTAGTTCATTCACAAGGCTGTGCAACCACCACTGTCTCAGTGCCACAGCACTTTCATCCCCCTAGAGGAAACCCCATTAAGGAGTGTCTTCCCACCCTCCCTGTGTGCAGCCCTGGCAGCCACCAATCTACAACCTGTTTCTAGGATTTCACTGCTTTGATTTTTACTTTTACATTGGAATGGTTGTGGGTTTTGTTTGGTTGGGTTTTTTTGTTTGTTTGTTTTTGTTTTTTGGTCTTGCTATGATTATCAGAGCTCCTCAAGCCCTCACACTGTGGTTCCACGTTGGAGAGAAGGCCACATTTGTGGGTGGGCATCACCATGTCTATACTTCCTCCTGCTGGGAAGGCTTCCCAGAGGATGTGGGAGCTGGAGCCCTCTGCTGGACACTGCACCTCCCATGGCCCTGGTCTCCTCCTGTCCTCCACAGACAGCTGATCACCATCCGCAGAGCCCACCTGTTGTCCAGGCTGCGGCCAGCCAGTGCCAACAGCTATGAGTACCTACAGCGCCAGCAGATGAGGTGAGGGCCAGGAGCCAACATATCCTCCAGTGCCAGGAGCCAAGCACTGCCCACCCCAGTCCCAGGCATTGGCCACTGTCTGCAAGGGAGCACTTCTGGGAGGTGTGCTAGGGTGGCAGAGAACCACAAGAGCTGACCACGAATTGGGTATCTATTGTGGGCCAAGAACTATTAAGCGCTCCCAATAAGAGGGATTCTCATTAACCTTACAACCGTTTGTAAGCCAGGATTAGTATGCCTGTTTCCTGATGGAAAAGTAATGGTCAGGTCTCCACTGGGACTCCTTTTTGTGGCCTGGTAGGCACAATGCCAAGAACTTGACCTTCCTGAGTCCTTGCAGTTTTCCAAGGAAAATTCCATGGTCATTCCATTTCACAGTTGAAGAAACTGAGGCTTAGAGCCTATGTGACCTGCCCAAAGTCATGGCTAATAAGTGGCAGAGCTGACATCCAAACTTGCAGGTTTCTCCTACTTAGCTGGTTCCCTGGGTCCCAACTCCAGCCCTAACCTCTTGACATCCTTTCCAGTACCCAGCACCCATGGAACATGGGCCAGGGTTGGTGGGTAAACAGCTAAGTGTTAATCACAGTCATGCAAAGGGGAGGGACTTAGGGGCCCGTGCTGAGCTCAGGAGATCTAGAGCATGTGCTTGGTGGCTCAGACCAGGATTCCAGGTGTGGTCAGGTCTGGGGAAGGCAGGTGTTCTTTGATTCCTTTCCCCCAACTGTGCATGTTGGTATCCACCCACTGGGGCCCAGGCCTTGTGGGCAATTGGGCCACCTACACCCTGAGCACTTGAAATTTGCTGGGATATTGGCCAGGCCTGGGGATCTGGGATTCCTTTGAGGCAGAGAGTCTACAGGCAGCTGCTGACACTCCTCCCTGACCAGGGAACATCACCAGCTGCGGTTCCAGGATCTCAGCATCCCAGAGGAGAGCTTCAACCCCTTGGCCTCCCACCAGGACTGGGGCGATGGCCCCCGAAATGACCCCAGCCTCAAACTCAAGTCATACAACCTGTCAACTCTGTATCCTTATGGGGACCCTCAAGTGATAGACTATGACACTGTGAGTCTGGCCATGGCCTCCTCCATGGAGGGTAGATACCAGCATGCCCTGGTCCAAGGTGTGGGACTAGGCCTTGAGCTGTGGGTATGTCTGGAAAGGGATGGTCTGGCTTTTAGGCCTCTCCATACACTAGTGAGGGGGTGGTGGAGTGGAGGCCTGGCATGGGACCCAGATCATCCAACAGGCTGAGGTGGACATCCTGGGAGTGGATGGGATCCTGTACAAAGGCCGAATGAACCAGACTGGGACTCGACTCTTGGCCACTGGGGAGAAAGAGCCAGCAGGTGAGAGGCATGGACACTCCTGGACAACACTGCCCTTGGTCCTGGTTCTGCTGGGAAGGGTGAAAGGTTAGATGCAGGGCTCAGGGCTGGTGCCATCCCTGATTGGGAAGCCCTCATACAGTGTCTCACTATACCTGGCACCTGGAGACAGTGGGTTGCAACGTGCTTATGAGGGGGCAGATTGTAAGCAAATAACAGAAGGCAAGAACCTATGGTTACAGAAAGATAAACATCTGACTTGCAGGGAAGTCCTGGCAATGGGTCAGCTGGTCTGTGACAAGGGCATAGCCCAGAGAGGGGGCTGGGCTAGTGACAAGACAAGAGAGTTGTGCCATGGCCTGCAGGTCATAGGAGAGGGACTGGACACTACCCTGAGGCAGAAGGGAAAGGAATTACTTGGTGAATGGATCAAGAGGAAGGAGAATGGTCTAGGTGGAGGAGTGAGAAGGTCTGAAGACCATGTGGTGGGTGGAAGCCAAGCACAGGTAGACCTCAGGAGGATGAGCCCATCTGGGTGCAGAGACAAGGGCGGATGATAAAGAGTAGATATGTACAGGACACAGGTCTCAGGATCTGGTTCTGGGGCCCCAGGACTCTAGATTTCCTCACAGAGTTTCAAAATATAGGAAGGGGAGGCAGCGTATCCCTTTGGAGTGTTTTCTCTTTGTTCTTGTTTTTGTGGTGCTGGGGATTGAACCCAGGGCCTTAGGCATATAAGGCAAGAGCTTGATCACTGAGCCACATCCCCAGCCCTAGAGTTTTCTCTTTGGAAAGAACTCTAAATGTTGCCCATGGGTGAGAGCTACACCTTCCCTCATGAAGAGTGGTCCAGGAGCCACAGTGTGCGATCCCATTGGCCAGAGGACTAAATCCTAGACAATAGAAAGGAAAGGGAATGGTCCTCCTGGTATGCTGGACAAAGAGAGGCACATCAGGCTGCCACAGCAAACAGCAGCTTATTGGGTTGCTTCTGGAGACCAGCATTCCAAAACCAAGGTGGCAGCAGGGCCATCTTTCTCTCCAAAGGCTCTTGTGGAGGATCCAGCTCCTGTGGCTCCAGACATTCTTTAGCAATGGCCACATCACTCCAATTTCTGCCTCTTTTTTCACAAAGCTTCCTCCATGTGTCCCCTCTTCTGTCTCTGATAAGGACACCTGTCATCGGATTGAAGGTGCAGTGTAACCCGGGATAATCTCATCTCACCATCTTTAATTACACCTGCAGGATCTTTTCTCTAGATAAAGTCACACCCACAGGCTCCAGGGGACAAATCTTTTTGGGGACCACCATGCAAACAACCAAAGACTCCACCGTTTCTAGCAGGGCACGACACCATATCTTCTGCCCTTTGAGCTACTCTAGTCCCCCCACTGTGGATCCAATAGGAAGGGCTTGGGTTGGGCTTCAAGGGTCACCACACAAGGCAGAAGCACAGGCTAATGTTTAATGAGCCTCGACTTTTGCCAAGGCGTCCTCACCTCCTCTTGCCCACAGCAACCTGGTGAGGCCATTCACGAACACCCAGGGGAGGGTCCCCTTGCTGGAAGAGTGCTCTCAGCAAGGGGCAGGGTAGATGAAATTTATCATAGCATGGAGGCCAGATAGAGTTTACCATGGGACACTTCATTTCCTATCACCCTTCCCCAGGGATGTCACCCTCAAAGGTACTGCTTTTCCCCAAGTGGTCATTCATTTCCAAGACCCAGGCAGCAAACCAAAACATGAATAGTTGTGGCCTCAACAGCTTTACCTTGCCCAGAGTGAGTGTGTGGCCGAGTGGCTCTAGAAACAGGGCGGGTCCCACCAGAGTGAAAAGTCTGGCCTTAGCCCCCACCTGTTCTGGTTTTTTCTCCTTAGCTGTGAAGACTCCATGTCCGCCAGGTCAAAGTGACCATGTGCGCTCTAGTGCCTTAGCTGGTGCTGTCTATCCCCGTGAGTACCTGTCTTCAACTCCCTGGCCTGACTGGTCCCTCCTAGTCCCAGCCCATTCCCCTCAACCTCCAGCCTGGGGGCGTGTTCCTGTCCTACCTCAGCTACCTCTCACCTGCTCTTATCCACATCCCAGCAGCCACCTGCCCACTTGTACTGCACCAGAGTTCTGGGAGATCCCTGTAGTAGCCCCCATCCAGCACCCTCTGCCCTGGCCAGAAAAGAGCCCAGGCCCTCAGCTGTCCAGACTCCTGCTTCACCTTCAGGGTTGCTTCCTGGTGCCAGGCACCATCCCAGAAGCCCAGACCAGGTGTCTGTCCCCAAGCATCCATCCAGCTGCAGGGGTGGGAAATGGAACTCACCTACCTCTCTTGGCAAGGGGCTCTCAGCAACCTGAGCCCAAACCCCCAGAATCTAAGCCCTGTGTCCTCCCAGGTTTGTGGCTTCACTTTGGAACCCATTTATAGTCATATTCTTGGGTTGCTCCCTGCCCCCTGGAAGTTTAAGATGCCCAGACCAAGAGAAGCATGGTCACCTGCCCTGTCATGGCCCACAGAGCACCTCCAGTCTTGGTTTTCTCCTCCTCTAACAAGGAGGACTTCACTGGGCCAGCAGCTCCTGGGAGCATGCTTGAGATATAACACAGGTCTCTCCCTCTCTCCAGCCGTGGGGCCTCGCACCAGCACCAACTCAACTGCCTTAGGCACTCCCACAACGACGTTGGCTCAGCCGCCATCTCTGCTGCCTCTGACGCCGCTGCCACCACTCGTCCCACCCCCAAGGGACCCACAGCAGACCCCAGAGTTCACCAGACACTTAAGATCTCCACACCTTGAATCCCGAGCCAGCATGCGGCCTGTGGAGGAGCCCACCAACCTGTGAGCCCCACCCTGCTCCCTACTGGGTCCCCTCCATGGCCCCTGGGGCCTTGTGACTGGCCTAGGAAATGAGCCAGGAGCCCTAGACATAGGAGCGGGGTCTGCATCTTTATAGGGAGGTCCCCATGTTGACCCAATAGTTGCTTTTAAAATTCTATGTATAAATAACAACACAATACGTACTGACATTTTCATGGACAACACATTTTCAACTGCATTTCCCACTGAGTCAGTGGAATTCCTTAACCAGTTTTTGACACAACAGCATTAAAGTGGCTTTAAAGCTATCCTTCTCCTTTTTATTTTGCTGCAATGATGTCATCAGAATCAGTTCCCGCTACAGCTCCTGCCTCTGTGCCTCTTATCGGGGGGCCATTATTTCTACTAAGACCAGTTTTCCCATGGCAACCAAATTGCACTGTGTGCAGCCTTTCTTGTTTTGTGTTGGTTGTTCTACTGGAAATTATTCCTGTGAATTGGATTGTTCCTTTTCCTTTCTTGGCTGACAAACAAGAAAACTGGTACAGTGCCCTTGGAGTATTCTAGAATTGTGGGGGTCCCCGCCAACAGTTTCTCCCATTTATAACCCACACATTTGCTGGGGAAAAGAGCAAACCACAAGGTCACAAAGCCTCACTATGGCAATTGACTAATCACAATCCCTCTTTTAACATAAAGCAGAGGGCTCACTCCATGCCCACCTCCCCTGGGATCGTAGGCTGGCTCTGTCCCTTCCCCTTTGGTCCCTCCCTCTTCTCACCTGTCCCTCCTTCTTCTCAATCTCACTCTCCTGCTTTTCTCACTTCCTTGCTTTGTTGAGTCCTGCCCTCTTTCTCTACTGTCAGTAGTTCTGTTCCACTTCACAGAGACGAAATAGCTTCCCGCTGCACAGGTTTGGGGTGTAACCTACCCCCTCAGTGCTCACTAAATACTGAGGTGAGTCAGGGAGTTGGTAGCTCGTAGCAAGAGCTGTCCAGGAATGAGCTAGAGAAGGGAGGACTCTGGGCAGGACTAGGAGCCCCAGGCTCTGCCAGGGGCAGGTATGGAGGAGGAACCTCCGGCTGGGAGGCTATCAGTGCCTGGGGATGCCATGTGCTTGCTCATTCCTAACAGTTCCCAAGGCCCCTCCACACCTATGACCAATATTGGCCTGACTTGGTTTTTTGTTTGTGTTTGCTTTTGTTTTGTGGTACTGGGGATTGAACCCAGGGCCTTTGCACTGAGCTATATCCCTAGCCCATTTTTATATTTTGAGATAGAATCTCACTAAGTTGCTAAGTTGCCCAGGCTGTGCTCAAACTTGTGGTATTCTTGCCTCACCCTCCCAGCTGATTGGTGTTTTCTTTCTCCAAGGACTCTGTTCAAATGAGGCCAAGCTCTTCCTGACTCAGGTGACTCCTCTCTCCATGCTGCCTCTGGCAGGGGCACTGGTTGGCATACCTCAAGCCCCTACCTCCATGTCACAGATGAGTATTTTTGGCAACTTCTTCCCAGAATAAAATCTTGCACCTGTCTGACTGTAGACGAGGTATACTCTTCAGAGGGTGGCCTTACCCACTCTGTGTGGGTGTGTGGGACTTGCCGGTCCCTTCTCTGGTTGCCACTGCCAGGACTAGCCTCCCAGCACCTGTCCCGGCGCATCTAGGCTTCTTGTCATCTCACACTCACAATAAACCTTCCTCTTCCGCCACGTTTCCCATGGTGGCCATGTGCCCTGAGCTGTCTCAGCTGTGTGTGGGTAGTACAGAGGTCTTGACAAGCTGCCCAGGAGGCCACACCTGCTGGGTATTGTGTAGGAGTATCAGGGGCCTGGCTTCATTCCCTCCTCCACCAAGGGAGCTGTGGCTCCAGCTCGAGTCAGCTGGGAAATGCGGCTCCTGGAGGCAGCCCACTGCCAACACGCCAGCACCCGGGGCCGCTCCTTGGTCCTCACCGCTGGGCACCACTCTCCCTCAGAGTCTCCTGTCTGCTTCCATTCAGTTCCTTCAAAGCCACTTTCTGGGCCCATTTCAGAGGTTTACATACCTGAGAAATCAGTGCTTGAGTTGGTTCCTCCAGGCCAGGGAGTAAGAAGTAAAGGCCCTGCTGGTCAATGTGTAACCTGTCTATATCCTGACAGGCCTCTTGGGTACTTGGAAGGTGGGGACTTCAGCCAGGAGTGATCCCAGAAGACAGTCCTGTCCCTGGGGAGGGGATGGGCCTGCAGGCCTTGGGGGCTTAAAGGGGAGCTGCACCAACCCAAGGTCCCTGGACAACTGCTTCAGGAGCATGGGTGAACCCACTGCAACAGAGGAAGGTATGTGGCAACAGTGGAAGCCCATTTTGGACAGCTTCCTGTATGAAAGCCTGAGCCGTAGCTGCAAGGCCAAGCTAGATGGGGCAAGGTGACCGATCTCTTCCTGGCTTGCCCCGGAGGGAGTTTCCTGGAACTAGGGCTCAGTTTTTACACTGAGGCGAACTGGTCTTGTGCAGAATGAGGCTTTTGGGGGCTGCACAAATTGGGCCAGGTAGCTTGGGGAAGGAGATGGCTTCTGCAGAGCAGCCTGGAGGTGCTGCTGGATTGGAGCAGGTACTGTGTGGTGAACATCCTGCACCGGCAAGCCTAGCCCTGTCACTGCAAGTGAAAGTTCCCTTTCAAAGACCACGGACTCATTAACCTAAGGTATAAATTCCTGACACCAGTAAATGTGTGTTCCAAGACCGGTGCTCTACGCTGGGAAAGTGAAGTGCCAGTGCCTGAAGGCAGAGGGCTGGGTGGGCGGAAACGCAGGCTGTAGAAGGAAGAGCCTTCTGGGTGGCAACTTTTAAGGACAGTGGACTCACCATGCACTGATTCCTGTCACACTTCTGACTTCCTGTGGATTGGAGGCTCTAGGCAGAGACTCTGCAAACACTACCACCAAAGAAGGTTTCTCTTTTCTCACCCCTTCTTCCCCTAGCTCATGGCTTCATCAAGATCTGCAGAAAATGACAATATTTACAGCTTTGTTGTTCCCTAGGACATGAGAAGAGGCCCAGAAAGCAGAGCAGGATTTGCCAACAGACTTCCAGCATGTTGCACTGTGCCACTGAAAAGGCCTTGGCCATCCTTAAGTGGCCTCTTCACTGGGGTGAGGGAGGACTTGGCACTACCTCACCCCAGAAATGACTGTGTTAAGGCACATTCATAATGTGTATCTTGCCCGAATATAAGCTGTGGCTACAAACCACAGCTTATATTCTAAATGCAGGTGTTGGAAATAACTGCATCAAAAGACCCCATCTTGGCCAGCTCAGGCGGCCTTCCCACACAAGGAGGTAGATCTGAGTCAAAGGACTCATCTGTCCTCTGTGGGGCAGGAACTGCTGTGAAACGGCCCCCAGAGACCTTCCGGGCTACAACTAGCCTCAGGGACAGCCTGGATCTCTGGGCTGGCCACAGTGCATGCTCAGAGAACCTCAGTGGGTCCACTGGACAAACCCTGGGGACACTCAGTAGCCCTGGGTGTGGCTCCACATCCAAGACTTGCCGGAGAACAAGCCCTTCTCTCTTCAAGGCTGTCTGAAGGAGCCCTGCCTGCCACAGAGAGCAGCTTAGTATCGTGTTCCTGAAGCTAGATGCCCCTTCACGCCACCAAGCAGGGTATTTACTTCTGTAGCTGCTTGTGGTGAAAAGCAAAGCCCTCCCTTCAAAATGCAGATTCCACAGCAACAGTTGGAAATGACCATCTGTATGGCCAGTGGAGCGGAAGGGCCTGGCCTGGCAGGGGTGGGAAGGCTGTGTCCTCAGCATGATGGTTAGCTCCAGCTGACTGGGGCCTTGAGGGAATTTGGGACATACATTCCAGTTACCAAAATCAGTCAGAAATGGAGCTTTTCACATAAACCCTCTTGATTTAAAAATGTTAGTAAACGTATTTAAAAAACGTGTGACACTGTAAATCACACAGCACACAGCAGGGACTTCGTGTTTCCATATATATCTTCCCTCAGGTAAGAGCCCTTCCTCACAGCAAAAGGGCACAGCCACTGCTTATCACTGGGCAAGGCCAGGTCTACATTCACAAACACTGCCACATTCTCTTTGGGAATCAGACACAAAGAGCTTGAAGTGAGTTCTTTTTAGCAATCTCGTGGATCCAAGTGGCGTTTGTTAGAGTGGAATTTTGGGTTGTTTTTTTTTTTTTTTTTTTCTGGTACGGGGAATTGAACTCATGACTTTGCACTTGCCAGGCAGCTGATGTGCCACTGAGCTAAATCCCCAGCCTGCTAGAGTGGAATTTTGGAAAGACATTTGAAGCACCAATCCAGTAAGCAAGCAGGGCATAACCAGCTCAGAAAAGCTGGACTTCGAAGTAACAAGGCTAGTTTCCTTGTTTCTCAGGCAGTTTCCGATTGAAGGCCGACTGGGGTGGCCTGTTAATTGTGGGTGTTTTGCTAGAACTTTGGCCCTTGGCTTCTCACCCAGCTTACTCTTGAACACATGGGTCACCTTCAGTCTTAAAACTTTGCTTCTGTAATTTCCCAATTCCAAGCTTGGGTTACACCACAGAAGTTTCCAGGTTCACTCATATTTGAGTTCTGGGGCACATGGTGTATCTTTGTGGGTCACTTCTGGCTCCCCTGAAGTTCTCGCCCTTTTTTTTTTTTTTTTGCAGTACTAGGGATTAAACCCAGGATCTTCACACACTGAGCCACATCTCCAGCCATTTTTTGTCGTCTTTTTCCCAGATGGTTTCATCAAGTAGTCCAGGCCGGGCTCAAATTTGCTGTCTTCCTGTCAGCTACCCAAAAATGTTGGGGTTACAGGCACATGCCATGTCTGCTTTAGTACTGGTCTAATCTTAAAGCCTTTCTTTCTTTCCTAGATTTTTAGGTCAGAGACTGAAGCACATCTGGCAGGGCCCGTGGATCTATTGGCACACCCAATTTCCAGGGCGCAATTCCAGCCCTACCTTACCTAGGACTTCCAGATTGCTTCCTCCTAGGAGAGGGTTCAAACAGTTTTCACCTTGTCTGGGATACACGAGTCAGAGATGAGAGCCAGTGTGGTAGTGCACACCTGTAATCCCACCTATTTGGAAGGCTGAGGCAAGAGGATCTCAAGTTTGAGGCCAGCCTGTACTACTTCAGGAGACCTTGTCTCAAAATAAAAATTCAAAGGGCCAGGGGAATAGCTCAGGGGTAGACTGCTTGCCTCAGCATCCACAAGGCTCTGGATTCCACTTCCAGCACCGTGGGGGAAAACGTTGGCCTAGGTCCTTGGACCCTTCCCTTCGGTGGCTGCCTTAGGGGTGAGGCCAGGAACGTGGGTATTTCATAAGGATTTAGGGATCTTCGTGCTCTAGGCTTAAGAACCAAATCTAGTAGTTCCAAATCACTGTGCTAAGCAACTGCCTCAGAATCTCCTGGGAGCTGTTTTATTTTTGGTAACAACTTTGAAGTGTAACTGGCACGCCAGGAAACTCACCTTTTCAGCGTAGTGAGTGGCTGCTAGTGTAGGTAGATGGCTTGCTGTTATCTACCTGGTGGTCACTCCGAGACTGACCTAATAGGGCCAGGAACCTTTGGACTGCTGGCCTGAGCTAGGCATGTGAACCCCAGGACTTCGGAGGAGCCCTGCACTGGAGCAGCTGCCTTTTTGACGGTCACAAGTAGGGGTGCTACTAGATCTAGTTGGTAGCCTAGAGGCTGTGTGCATCCCATGGTGCACAGGGCCTCCACTGTAGGGACAAGGATTTGGGCCTAGATATTAACAGTGGTGAGGTTAGAAAGGCCAGACCTAGAACCTTTCAAGTCCTTTCTGCCTTAATGTAAGCATGAGACCTCCAGGCCCAGCTCACAGTGGTCCCCAGGACTTCGTAGTGGCCTCAGTAGCAGCATCTTCTGGGTGATGATGCTGGTCTGAGTCACCACTTTAGTACAGGACAAGTACAGGGTACCTAAATGTTGCTGGGCACTTAAAAACTGGTGCTTCTCAGCTTCCAACCATGCAGAATCTGGACTGTGCACCATCTAATAGGTGATGCTTATGGCCACCTTAGCAATCTGCCCCAAGCTTCATGAATAAGGTGGTAGGTGACTGCCTCTGCAAAATCTTTCCCTACCACTTATGGGTATGTATGGTGGTTTCCAAGAATTTCTGTCCAGTTCAGAGTGGAGAAGCTGCAGAGCAAAGCATCAGGAGGCTGGAGAGCCCTCTCCTGCTATAAAGGTATTCTGGGGTGATGCAGGGAGAACAGGCACCTCATTGGGCTGTTGTTGAAGGCTGGGCTCAGAGGGTCCAAGAGTGCTCCTATGTAAAGACTAGGAAGATGGAGGCAGCCCTTAACTGTGCTTACTCAAAACTAGGGGTCAAGATCTGTCCACCTGCACCACAGGAGGGGTGGGATTTTGGAGACATAGGCCAGAAAACTAATTTTATGGGAAAAGCTTTGGGTTGGCAAGAAGTTTCTAGAACACTTTGTGGTTGAAAAAACAATGACAGGCAGGAACAGTGTGGAGCTCAGAGACACTGGACATGACCTATGCTCTGCTTGCCCCCCGCCACCCCCCAGCTGGTAGCAAAACCTAGGATGTGAGGCAAGACCACAGAGCCCGGTGATAGTTTGGAATTCTTTCTCTTTCAATAAAAGGGGGAAAAGAGTAGAGATCAGGTACCCCTGGGCTCTGGGGAAGGCATGCAGGCAGCCCCAGCAGGCAGGCACTGGGGATGGGAGGGAAGAATCCTGGAGTTTCCCATAAACTTTTTCTCAAGGGGAACAGCAGTGCAGGCTGACGAGGGTGGTGGGGTGAGGCAGGGCCCTGGGGAGAGGGGTGGTGGGCAAGGGGCTTGGGGCTCACTCTAACATGCAAAGTCCAGCTGCCCCATAAACTAGGTTGCTTTTCAAAGAGTGACATACATATAAATACATAAGCACAGCTACACGCACACATGCGGAGAAGGCTCTGCATTCCCAAGTGTGGGGATCTAGGCTTGCTGGCTGTAGGGAGCTCCCAGTCAGTAGCCAGCCATGTCTCTGCTGGGTGACCGTCCACAGCGCCCCTGGGCTAGGGCAGGGCAGGGCAGGGCGGATGAATCCTCTTCTGTGGGAAGGCTGTTTGGTCTCCAAGGTGCTGCTCACCAGGCACCCAAGCCGCTGAGCCAAATCTGTGTGAGCTGGGGACCACATGCCTCTGCTCCATGAACTTGCATGCGTGCAGCTGTGCGTGTTGGCACAAGATGTATCCCTGCCTGACTAGAGTCCATCTCTCCCCTCCAGGGCTCCAGGGCGCAGGGGTGCAGACAGAGGAAGGGTGAAGGGGGCCCATGGAGACATCCTCTCCCCCGCCCCACGGGGGTCCTGGCCTCCGGGAGGGGGGAGGGGCCTCTCTTATCTCTCTGCCTCCATGGCAGGGTGAGCCCTGGGTTCTGAAGCAGCTTGTTGAGGGGCCAGGGGTGGCCAGTCTGAAGCCGGAGAAGGGGGTGCTGGAGTCCAGAGGGATGGCTGTGCCTGGTGGTGCTGTGCACCCCCAGGGGGTGAGGCTGCAGTTGGCCAGCTGGGTGCCACAAAGCTGCCAGTGGCAGCAAGGGGGAAGTGTGGTGGGGGAGATGTAGCTGTTGTGGCCATTGGGCTGCCGCTACTGCCACCGTGGAAGCTCTCTGAGGCCTTGAGACGTGAGAACATGGTGAGAGCATCAGGGAAGTTGGGAGGTGTGGCAGGGGTGTTGGCAGGAGTGCACATCTGGGAGGAGAGAAAGGAGAGAGGGAGGGGTAAGCGCCCTTTCTGGTAGTGCCCCAAGGTCCCCAATACCTCTGAAGAAGAGACAGGCACCCCCATACTCCTTTCCCCAGATTCCACTTGAGTTTCACCCTGGCCTGGTTGGTCCCAATGCTGGGGGGCTCACGGGGAAAGGCACTGCGCCGGCTGACCCAGGAACCTGGGCTACAGATCTACACTGGCCAGTGCAGGGCCATGAGCCTTTCCCAGCCCGAGTCTGCAAAGCATCCCCGGAGTGCTGCCCCACTCTATAGGCAGAGGCCAAAGCTCCAAGGGCCAGTGCTACCTACTTCCTGCCAGACCCAGGCTGCCCACCGAGCCCACACTCCTGCAGGCCTGTCTCAAGGAGGTTCAGCTGCATGTGCACTGCCCTCCACTGGAAGCCGCCCTGGGTTGGGGGGACCACTTGTGCACCCACCTGGCTCAGCCTCCCTCCTTCCTGTCCAGAACAGAGAGCCCCTAGCGGGGCCACATGTAAGTCTCCAGGGGACACTTACCATCTGGTGGTGGTGGTGGCTGTAGGGGATGTTGGTCTCCTGGAAAAAGGCGCTCAGGGCCGTCTAGAGGAAAAAAGATTGTGCTTACCATCCACACCCTCCCTACCCTAGTTCCCAGGCTCTGGGGCTTAGCATAACCATGGACTGGCTTCTGAGTGGAATAAGGTGAGCTGAGATAGCCAAGAACCAGCAGTGTACCTGTCACTACCCAACTCTCACTATCACCCATGGAGACACCATGGAACTGGGAGCAGGGTAGGTGTGTGGTCAAGACCCTCACAAGGCTACTTGCCAGGTGACTCCTAGCTGCAAAGCCCACCCCTTACATACTTCTGACATTGTCTATGTGACTCCAGGCAGGTAGACAGTACCCTCACTCCGTCTCATGAGGAAAGACTACATGGGCCCTCACTAAGCCAGCTGGTCCTCAGTTTGTCTCAGGAGATCCTCACCCTTTCTGCCCCCAACCCCACAGACAATAGCAAGTCTTTGCTCTTTTCTGAGTCTGTTTTTTTCCTCTGGATCAGGGGTATCTTGAGTTCTGACCTAAAGGGCAGACACCTGCTTCCTGGCTTTACTCCACCTCTGACTGATCATCACATGACCTGTCTGGACCTCAGTGTCTCTATCTGAATCACAAGGATCGAGCAACAGGGACATCCTCAGATCACCATGTTCCAGCGAAGAGGGCCTGGACTTAAGTGGGAGGGTCTGGGTTTTACACTCACCCACCCAAGCCTTCCCAGGAATGTCAAAGTAGTGAGCAGTAGGGTGGCCCTAGCACTGAACCCAGCCAGGAAATGAAGACAGCTCCTGTGACAACTCCATGGTGGGAACATGACACACTGCCTTCTCCCTCCACACCAATACTCCACCAAGCACGGTGCTGCCTCTTCAAGCTGGGTTCCATTGAGCTGGGGGGACTTATTACCACAGAAGCTGGCCTGGAATCCCTTGCTTTACAGATAGGGAAACAGGATGGAATGGCTTACTAGGGTTTATAAGATTAACAAAAGGCAGAGATGGGGTTAAGACCCTGGCCTGAGACTCCAGGCATAGCCCTTGGGACTGCCCCAGATGGGTGGCATCGGACTGGAACCCGGACTCCCAGGATCAGCTCAAACCCCTGGAGGTCCATTGAGGGAGGGAGTCCAGGGAGCCCTCATGGGAGGTGCTGACATTTATCACGCCTCTCCTGGGCCCCTGAAGGAAATAAGGGAGCTGGCTGCTCTTGTGAAAGTGCTGAGGGAGGGAGGGCCCTCTAAGTGTGTGAGGGGTCCTTCAGACACTGCTAAGTCTCTGGCAGGGATCTGAAGTCATCTCCCCTGCCAGAGCTGCTCCCCAGCTTGTACTGCCCAATGGACTTCCTCGTTTTCCCTTTCCAACACACCCAGAAACCCAGCCTGGTTCCCAAGCTTGTCCTTAGGGTTTTTTTGTTTTGTTTTGTTCTAAAGTAAACTCAAACAAATTATTTTGAGAATTTCCTGGAAACACCCTATCTGGGTGTCCCTAAATGGGATGGGAGCTCAGGTAGGGGCTGGGTCTCCTCAGCCCAGGCTCACTTTGTAAACCCCAACCCAGAAGCCCAAAGGACACACCCAACCCTGTCTCCCAAAGGCCACCTTGTGTGAGTACTTCACTAAGAACATCTGCACAGCTACAGCCAGGTGTGGTGGCATACACCTGTCATCCCAGTACTAGGGAGGCTGAGGCAGGAGGGAGGGTTACTGAAGTTCGAGACCAGCCTTGGGCTACAAAGCGAGTTCAAGGACAGCCTGAACTGCATAGCAAGACCCTGTCTTTAAAAGCCAAAAATAAATAAATAAATAAATAAATAAAAATCTCCACAGCCAGACAGAGGTCCCCTCCCCCTCCAGCCTCTGCTCCCATTAACACCTGAATCTGAGAATGTGACCCAGAAACACTACCCAGTGTATACTGCCAGCCAGGTGGAGGCAGTCATAAAGGGGGATGGGCTACTCCTAAAAACCCCTCATTCCCTCCCCTAGGCAGAGGCTTGAGGTTTGAGGGTTCACAGTCCACTGGCTCTTACTCAAGTATCCCCCATTTTATAGACAGTGAAACTGATACTATGGGAGCCAAGGGCACGGGTACTTGAACCCCGGAGATGCTGGTGGCCACCAGAGTCCTCCTGTCTACAAGGCAGTCCTGACATTCCCATGGGCAGAGTTCTTCCCCAGATCCTGCAATCTTCAAAGCTACATTTTCAATTCAACCTGTGCTACCTGAGAGACAAAGCCTGGGTGTCTGACTCCGAGGGATGGACTCAGAGTTGTGCCGGCAGGGCCCACTCTCCACTGGACATCTGCCTGCCCTGCCCTGCCCTGCCCAGCCCAGCGCAGCCCAGCGCAGCCCAGCCCAGCCCAGCCCAGCCCAGCCCAGGCAGGGAGGGAGGGAGGGAGCCCTGCATGTTCCAGTGGGACTCCAGCAAACTGCCATGAATGCGGTTTTGCAAGTTTTACCACAACCAACCCTAGAGACAAACTGGGCTGATTAGGGTTGCTAGAGAGGTGGGGAGCAGGGAGCTTCCTTCGGGTGGGGCTGCAGTGGGGGAGGAAGCAAGAGAGCTGGCCATTCAGACCTTAGAGGCTGACTCACAGGGCTCCCCCCAGGTACAGGTGTGGAAACTGACGGCTGAGAGCAGCCTCTCCTCTCCTGGCTGAAGACAGTGCAGGGGCAGCGACTGAAAGTCTTGGGAGGGAGCAGGTGAGCAGGGTGAGGAGGATGGACCTTGGTGGCACAATCCCAAGATGGGGGCATTCTGACCCCCACCCTGCCCAAAGCAAACTGAGTCTTAGAGCCCCCTGGGTCCTGTTTTTCCCTGCAGGCCCAAACACTTTCCCTAGGACGGGTCCCAAGGAAACTAGGTTCTGGGCTACAGCCTGGCACAGACACTACCAGACTGGCGGAGGCTGTGACGCTACAACAAGGGCACCACTCCAGAGCCTGGTCTGATCCCTACATATCACCATGGGGATTTCGGGGGTCTTTGAGTTGCAGGTCAGATGGCCTCTAGGAAA